ATAATATACCATAGTAGCAAGAGAGCTAATGAATCAAAATGAGATTACAGCATAAGCATTTTAATCTATATTAAGATGTGTATTATAAAGGGCAGTTTGTAATACATTTTGAGGCATCAAAGAAATATGCAATTATATGTCAAATATTTAATGTATTTATACACACAAAGCAAAAATCTTTCCACGGCACAAGGTCATAATCTCTTCTTAAATACATCAAATTCATCTCCTTACACTAAAGAAAAAGGGAAACTAATTTAAATATTCGCTCCTTTGCTGGTGCTCAGCTCTCTACTTCACACTATAGCTCTCAGAATATAAACAATCCCCTCACTGTGTGGGATTCTCATTTGACTTGTATTTTGCTACATAACGTGAAAAGCGAATGCAAAGCAACGACTTCATCAGGAATTCAGGGAAATCAAAACAGCAGTATCTTTGGTCCTGTCACCCGACTCCCAGCCCTGCAAACTGGGAAGACACAACTACATTACAATTTTTCAGCACTAGTCTTCAGTGTGGTGCCTTTCTGAGAATTTTTCAAGGGGAGCTTTTTTCTAAATTATTTTGGCATCTGGGTTGCCTTTAGACCCAACCCACACACCAAATCCTACTCCATCTTTTGCACACCCATCCTTAACACTACAATCAAACTGAAAAAAAGGAATTGGCCTGTGTAATGCTAGTGGCAAAAGGCTAACCAAGCCAGCTTTTAAAAGTTGTTTTGTTTTGGTTTGGGTTTTCTGAGACAGATTCTATGTGATATTGGCTGGCCTGGAACTTGATAAACAGACCAGAGTGGCTTCAAACTCAGAGATTCCCCTACCTCTAAATAAAGGCCCATCACTCTCCAGCCAAGCCAGTTTCTTTCCAAGGCAATTCTCAAGGCACAGTGCTAGGTACTAAACAGGTGCATATAGTCAATGCAATAATGTAATGAATGTGGCACACACGCAATTTAAGGAAAAGTAGGCCGCAGTTAATGCTATAGGATTAGAAGCTAAGCACTAAATATCCCTCTGCCCCCTCTGGTTTTCAAGACAGGGTTTCTCTGTGCAGCCCAGCTGTCCTGGAACTCACTCTGTAAACCAGGACGGCCTCAAACTCAGAGATCTGCCTGCCTCTGCCTCCCGAGTACTGGGATCAAAGGTGTGTGCCACCAAGCCCAGTTTAAGAACTAAGCTCTTTCAAGAAGACTAGAATAAGGCATCAGACAAGTCTAATTCTTATAGCTGCTGTGACACTGCACAGTGAAAATATTGGACATTTTATGTAGAAACATCACATCATATTTCACTTAAGAGTACTGTAAATCACAAACTTCCCATTCCAATATGAGAATCAAGGGATGAGAGGCTTTCATCTCTGGATAACCTGTCCTCTACTTTTATGCTTAAAAAGGTGGAAATGTAGCAATAATAATATTAACAATAATATTATGGGCTGAAAGATGGCTCAGTGATAAAATGGTTGCCAAGCAAGCATGAAAATCTCAGTTTGAAGCTCCAGAACCCACATAAACATGGGACACTGTAGTTCAGGCCTGCAATCCCAGTGTGCCTTCCTAGACACAGGAGGCAGAGACAGGAAAATCCCCAGAAGCCGTGGGCTAGCTAGCCAGACAAATGCAGTGGTAAACAACTAGAGCCCCTCTCTCAAACAAGATAGAAGTCAGGGTCAGGAGAGATGGCTCAGCAGTTAAGAGAGTGTGCTGCTTTCCCACAGAATGAGTTCAGTTCCAGGTACAATAACAGGTCACCATTGCTGTAACCAGGGGATCTGGTGCCCTCTTCTGGCTTCCTCATGCACCTGTACACACATGGTATATATATACACATACATAACCACACACACACACACACACACACACACACACACACACACACAGTCTAAAATAAATCTTAGAATAAAAATAAAAAGTAGAAAGACCAATATCCGAAGTTGTCCTCTGATACAACATGCAATGTGGTGTGTAAATCTACACATACACATATATGCACATACATATCAAACTCATCACATCCAAAAGTAAACTAAATAGTAGCTAAATAAAAGCCAAAAAGATGGCAGAGACTTTGGACAAAATCTAGAGGGTGGAAACCAGAAATTAAACCCAAGATTCAAGTAGATTTATTTCAATCTGAACATTTCTCTGACCTCAACGTTCACTCTAGCAGTACTATGATGAGGCCACAGAACAGGCAAAGTCTGCTCACAGGCTGCGTTGATAACCATTTCTCTCCCCATCTTAATCTGGCACCCAAAGAACTAAACCTTGAAAGGAAAGGGAAACAGGAAGAAAACAGCAAAAGAAACAGATCCACAGGAATTAAATACATGGATCACACAAATATGCTTACGATGTTTAAAATAAAAATCAAACCTTGAAATTAATAGCAAAAAATATAAAATATTCTTTAAAGTGACAAAAGAAAACAAAAACTTCAGGAACTAAAAACTGCAATAACTGAATTTAAGATGTGTTTAAGAGGGTCATGGTGGTGCATTCATTTATTCCCAGCACGGGGGAGGCAAAGGCAGGTGGATCTCTATGAGTTCCTGGCCAGCTTGATTTATACAGCCAGTTCCAGGACAGCCTGGACTAAATAGGGAGACCATGTTTCAAAAAACAAAAGCAAACAAATAAAACAAAAAAGATAACAGTGTAGGAATAGAAGAGAATTAACGAAGAAATAACCCAGTCTGGAGGGAGGATAAGGCAGAAAGATCTTGAATTCTAGGCCAGCGTGGGCCACAGAGCAAGACCCGGTCTCAAAAAAAACAAAAAAAACAAAAAACAAAAAACAAAAAACAAAAAAAAAAAAAAGCAAGCAAGCAAACAGAAACAGCCTAACAGGGATATAGGGTGAAAATGTCTATGCAAGTCAGTAACGAAATAGTCAGGAAGAAGCAATATAACAAACATAAGTGACTAGAATTTTACAGAATAAATCCCTATTTCAAAGTCAAAAGGCTACTTACTTAACATTGCCAAGTGTTGTAGCATACACCTGCAATTTCAACACTTGACAGAAGAAAAAAAAAAATCAGGAGCTCAAGGTCATTTTTCCATACATATCAAATCCAAGGCCAGCCTGGCTACATGACCATCTAAAAACAACAATCCAAAAAAGTCATGTACTAAGACAATTGAAAGAAAACAACTCACAGTTTGAAGCATTATACCTGAAAACGCAAAACAAAGGCAAAACACTCCTAAAATCACTGATCATTTAAGAAAATGATCATTTAAGAATCAAGACAAAGCCGGGCGGTGGTGGCGCACGCCTTTAATCCCAGCACTCGGGAGGCAGAGGCAGGCGGATCTCTGTGAGTTCGAGGCCAGCCTGTGCTACCAAGTGAGTTCCAGGACAGGCGCAAAGCTACACAGAGAAACCCTGTCTCGAAAAACCAAAAAAAAAAAAAAAAAAAGACTTCAACTTCAAAAGAGTTGGGCCGTGCTACTTTCAAACCCTTAGACATTATTCACAGCTCATCTTAGGATCTAACTGAAACACAAAAGCTGCCTTTATTTCAACTCAATTCCTTCTATCAAAGAGAACTCTACAGATTCCTTTCAATTATTTCAGAAGCAGTGCCCTCCAAACCATTTTGTTTGTTCGTTCATCCTGCTTTGTTTTCGGATGGAGTCTTGCTATGTAGGCCAGGCTGGTCTCCAACTGACCGCCTCCCAAACCCCTAGCTTCCATGGACCTAGGATTTCAGTATCACCATACTGAGATCCTCCAAATCATTTTATGGGTCTCTGGGGACACATCAATAAATCTATTAACTTAACCAACGAAACCTGTCTCACAGGTTTACACACAAGTCGCCGCCGTAAATCCTAAACATCAGGTTCGTATCAGCCTTTCGGGTCCCACTCTAGACTTAACCAATCAGACTACCTAAGAAGTGAGGTACAAGATCTGTATTTTAAAATGTTTTCCTCTAAGAAACACGTCTATCAACAATAGGTCTCCCCTCCCCTCGACGTCCAAGGAGCACCAACTCTCAAATAAGACATCTCAACTGTCGGTCTTAGTTCTAATAGGTACACCGCCTTGTTTCCTATTAGAAGAGAATGCGCGGGGCACAGCGATTGGGACACGGTCCTCCGTAACAAACGTGTTTCCCATCCTGCAACTCCACTCTGGGATTCAACGATTCTCACTCGGACATGCCACGTTTTCTAAGGAGCGTGGAGCTGCTCCGAGCGGGACGGAGGCGGCGGCTTCCTTGAGGCCTGGATGGCTCCAGCTAGCAGAAAAGTGCTGAAGGCAGCACGAGGCCTGGCGAGCAGGAAAGGGTCGGAACCTCCCACCGCGCGCGACCCACACGCCGTCCCGCAGGCTGCCGCGGCTCGGCGCGGGGTGGCCAACTCCCAGCCCAGGAGACTCAGGACACCGGGCACGGGCAAGGACGCGGACTGAAGACAAGTCCGGGCCCTAACCCTAACTCCGGCCGTCGCTCACCCTCGCCTCGGCCAAGAAGGAACCTGGTTTCGCCTCCCGGCGCGGACCCAGGCCACACTCACCTACCAGAGCGCGGGAGGCGAGCCTCCCTCACCTCCGCGGCGCCTAACCCAAACCGCCGCCGCCGCCGCCGCCGCCAAGGCCACTCGCTCTTAAAAAAACAAAATAGCCAAGAAAGACAGAGAGGACAACGGCTGAACGCGAGCGATCAGACTTTGCTTTTGTATTCCTTTTGACCCTTCGGGGCTTCCTGTACCTCACCGCCACAACAAATTTCCACCCCGCTTCCGGCGGCAGAGCCCAATCAACAGCTCTCTCCCTCCCCGAGCGCCTCGTGGAAATCCGGTGCTCCCACACCGGATGGAGAGATTTGATTGGGCCCTCGGCCCTTCGGCAAGGGGATTAGCCAGTTCGTTCCAGGGTGGCGGGCCGGACCGCGGGGTCACGTGACGCGGCCCTTGGACGATGATTGGCTGCCGGGGAGAGGGATGGCCACCGAGGAAGGGGCGTTTCCTAGGGGACCGAGGGAGGGCCCGGGCGGCGCGAAGCGGGGGTGGGCCCTGCGCGTAATGGCAGTGCCGTGTCCTCGCGTCCATCTTTACCGCTCTCTTGGACCTGTCACAAAGGAGTCGCGCCGCTGCCGCTGTCCCCTCCCTCCGGTGGGCCCGGGAGCTAGTGAAAGTCAGTGCCACAGCCCAGCCTCGCGGCTCGGGGAAGCCCCTTGGGGACGTGGCCCGGGAGGGAGCCTACGGGCTAGGGACGTCTGTGAGGGAAGGCAACAGCCGCTAGAGCCTGGGTCGGAGAGACGGGACTGGGGCCGCGGCCGGCTCCGGGCAGGGGTCTGGGAGAGGGTGGCGCTGGGCAGAGCCTGGGAAGCAGCCGGAACGTTCTCCTCCGAGGCCCGCGCTGGCGGCGCCTGAAGCGGTTCCTGGAAGAGGGTGTTCCCCTTTGGGGGATCTTGACTGGAGGAGGTCCTGGGGTCACCCTTCCGAGGAGACTGCGGCTAACTGGGCCCAGGTGAGAGGCAGGTACCCCCTGGGGAGGCTCCCGGTGTGGAGGAACGCTCGTCCAGGCTGCTCGGAGCCGAAGGGGTCGAGGGGCGGGCGGGCGCACGCCATGGGCCGGGGCTCCTTTGAGGGAGTTTGCGTTTCGGTGGGAAGCAGACTTCCCCTGGGGAGGTCTGGTGGTGCCTTGGGGTGGAGAGTTCTCCACGGTGGAGAGAGGCTGTGGAGAGTTCTGCGCGCTAAAGAGAGGCTGGAGGCGGGAGCCAGACCTAGCGGATTCTCCTACTCTCTCGAGGCCTGAGCTAAAAATTGGGTAAAACCCCGGGGAGGGAAGATTTCTGGGCAGCTCTTTGCATTGGAAAGCCCGAGTTCGGGATAGTAAGCGGAAACGGGAATAGCCAGGGTTCTCCCCTCTCTCTGGAGATTGACCAGGTGTCCTAGACAAGGATTCTGCTGCCTCTGGGCTCAGCGCCAGAGTGGGACGCGGGAGTCGCCCCACCAGCACCCCCTGCGAACCTCCAAATTTGGCATTACTTCCTGCCTGCTGTCTGCCTCGCTTTCCCTGTTCTTACAGGAGACCTAGGTAGAGCTGCTGGGCTGAAAACGCTGACACTCTGTCTTGTGTAGATGTCTGAGTGAGGCTGCGTCCCCTGGAGTGTTGTACTTTGAACTTTTAAAAGTTGGCAGTGTCTGTTATGACCTGAGTAGCGTCCTGCAGTCTCCCAGGCCCCTCACTTGCCATCTGCTTGTCCTTGGTTGAAGTGACTTAACAGCTTCAATAATCAACGTTGTGTGAAAATAAGGTAGTGTAATGGATTGGTGTTGAGAAATAAAGGGTTTTCTAACCTGTAAAACAGTTGATGTAAGAGATTAGCATAAATACAGGTGTTGATTACCTATAGCTGAGAACCACACCTTACTGAGTGCTTCAAGGATTCCAGCTTCTTAGGTGATGTTACACTCTTAAACCCTGCTTCCTTGACATGAAGAGGTTTCCAGTTTTTGTTTGCAGAGTTTTCATTTACTTTCGACTTCTGATGGTGCTGGTAGCAATTAGCGCTTCCTTCAGGAAGTTTTTCTCCGAGAAATTTGTTCTCAATATTGTAGGCCCACTTCTTGTATATATTCCTGGCCTTTGGATGGCTATACGTAGTGAACGCTATGCTGCCTCTCTCAATTGTAATCTGTAAATAGGCCTGCATTTTTCCTTCCATGAATTCTGCCTTGTGGTACCCCCAGAGTAGAGATTACAAGGCACTTCTTTCAATTTTCCATTTTCTGTAGAGTTTGCATTTCTTGGGGGGTGATAACTTGCTTTGTAGATCCCGGTTATTATGAGGTTACAGTAATATGAGAACCTGTGTCAGTGTGTGACAGACACTTCACTAACCTTTGCTTAGTGGTACTTGTTAGCGCTGCTTTGTTAGGGCTGGTGTCCCAAAATTTTAGTGATTTTCTTGTGGTTTTTGTTGTTGTCTTTTTAAAATAGGCTTTTTAAAAAAGTTGACCTAAATTTCCTGTTTTTTAATCTTGCATTTCATGATTGTTGTTTTGTTATTTTATTTATTGTGGTGATTTTTCGAGGGCCTTGATTTCCCAGGATACATAGTGCCCGGGGCTTCTACTTAATATCTTTGTTAATTCTGCTTTTTGCTATTTTTACAAGACCTTCATTTTTTTTCTAGACTCAATATTTTTAAGCTATTGATTATATAAAAGTATTCCACCATGGCCTATGTAGATTTTTTTATGCTTTGTCAGCCAAATAACTTTTTTTAGTAAGTATCAAGGGAAACTAAAAGCTTAGCATTGTATATAATAGTGTGTTTTTCTGTACTGAACAGAGAAGAAACAGTTCTCTCAGCTCTGAAGTGTGGTTGGCAAGTTTAGTAACGGTAACTGTGTTTCTGAAGTGTATTTAAGCAGTCTGTTTAAATTCACGAGATTAAATTAGTATTTGAGGATTATATAATTTTTTTTCTAACAATAATTTTTTTTTTTTTTTTGAGGCAGAGTCTTAACATGTATCCTAAACTGACCTGGAATCAACAGTCCTCTTGCCTCAGGCTTTAGGGTGCTAGGACTGCAGGTGTGTACCATACCTGGCTTTTTTTTTTTTTTTTAAGACAAGCTCTCCTTATGTAACCCTGGCTGGCCTGGAACTCTCAGAGATCACCTGCCTCTGCCTCCAGAGTGCTGGGATGAAAGATGTGAGCCACCATATCCAGTGAAGTCGTGTTTTATGATGGAGAATCACCTTGAAGGTTTTAAAATACAACTTTCTTTAGTACTCTAAAATCTGTATAGCTTTAAAAAAAATTATTAGGAGTTCTTTTTAAAAAAATTTCTTGCTAAGCAAATTTTAAAGGGATTTTATTTTTATTATTTTTAATTACAAAACACTAAATGGGAATTTTTCTGTATTTTAGGGTCAGATCCTTGTAAAGTAAAACTTAATATTCATCATTAGATTCTAAGTGTAAGGGGAAGTAAGCAGGCACCATCAGTGACCAACTGAACCAGTGATCAATTTCAACCGTTGCTTTGTTTGTTTATTTAGTTGGTTTTTTATTTTCTTTTTCTTCCTCCTCCTCATCCTTCTCCTTCCTCTTCTTCCTCCTCTTCCTCTTCCTTTCCCTCCTCCTCCTCCTCCTAGCTTTTGGCATTTTCAAGGCATTTGCCATTGAGTGGGATGAATATTTTTTTCTGGTATTCAAATTTAAAAATTGAAAAACTGACTATTCAGGAAGTAGTGAATGCCAAAACCTAGGCCACAGCCCTTAGGAAACTTTTACAACTTGTAGTGGGGCAAAAAAATGATTATTTTCTTCCTGGAGCTGGAGTTACAGGCACCGGTGACCCATGCAACATGGGTACTGGGTCTTCTGCAAGAGCTGTGCGTGCTCTGCCGCTGAGCCAGCCCTCCAAACCCTGCTTACCTGCCTTTTTTGTCTGAGCTTTGAGAACTAGAAAAGACTTAAATAGCAAGAAGTTGATGTACTCCCAGAACTTGGTAAGGAATGGCCTCTGCATGCAGCTGTTCTCCTGCCTGAAATTACAGTATCCGGGCATAATTTCATAGGTCCTGTGCACTTCAATTGGAAGGTTTGAAATTTCTTACTCAGCAAGTGTATTATTACTCTGTAGTTTATGTTTCAGAGTTGGTTTTTTCTTACTTCTACCTCCTAAAGAATTAAGTTTCCTCTCCTTTGTTCCCTGAATGCAGTATTCTTAAAATATGACTCCTGCTCCACCCTTCCTCATGGGAAATACAACTCCTTTATTCAGTTCTTATTGCTTCATCATTGCTCATAGTTACAGATGCCTATGAATTACATATTAATAACTTTCGAAGTCAATTTTTAAGGCTTGCTAAGATATTTGTTACCTCAGACTAAAGCAATTAGAATTTACTGCAATTGGACTGGGGAGATTCAGTGGGCAAAGGCATTTGCCACAGAAGCTTGAGGACCTGAGTTCAAATCTCCCTAACCCATGTATAGCCATGAGCAGTGGGGTGAATCTATAATCCCAGTGCTCTTACATGGAGATGGGAGGCAGAATTGATAGGATTTCCAGAAGCTGGCAAACCTGGTGTACATGGCAAAACAAGAGACTGCCTCAGTCAAGATAGGAGGCAAGGACCAATGCCTGAGGTTGTCCTGACCTCCACTGATACTCTGTGGCACATGTGCCTCGATTCACATGTGAACATGAACACACAAGATTTTTTTTTTCCAAAAGAATTTATTGTAGTCTCTAGTCCCTTTTTTCTCAGGTGGTCTGTCCTGGGACACTTGGCACCAATGCAAAACTTCTCACTTACTGGGTACAGAGTGTGGATTCCTCCAGCATTCAGAAAGGGTTTAAGTTGGGGTACAACATCCATATGGTCTCAAAATAATTTGGTTTTCCATTGAATTTCTGATCTTTGTTGTTGTTTTCATTAAACTTACTGTTTAGCTTTAGCTTTATCAATTTAATTTTTAAACTCTGTTAACCTTTCACTGTGTGGTTTTAAATTTCTGAATTTTTAAAAATTTATTTTTGTTCTCAGTGTGTGGAGATGAGAAGGACTTTGTTTTCTCTTTTCCCCTTCCATGGATTCTAGGGGTTGGACTCGGGTGGCCAGGCTTGTGTGGGAAAGCGGGAATCTTCACCCACTGAGCCATCTCACTGGTCCGCGCTGTGATAAGTGGAGAGCGTGTTGCAATGCAGTTGCTAGTGCTGATTTATAGTCTGCTAAGAACCGGCCGTACAGAGATACTTCAGAGTGGTCAGGTTCCTTTTCAACTAGAAACTGGTGTGGCCAACAGTCTCCTTCTGGTGGCTCTCATGGTTTACCCATAGGCCTTGGTAGGGAGTTAAGTGTGTTGTCTGTTGCTGTCCTTCATCCCGATCCCCAGCTCCCTCTGCCAAGAGTACACGGACATTTTTCATCTTTGTTCAGTACCTGGTACATATTTATTGAATGGTGATATCACAATTTTTAAAGCTTTAAACACTTTGTAAAATTTTCTGTTTTTGAAATATTTTAACACTTTCTGGTTTTACAGATTTTAGAATAAATTCACCTAGGTATTTATGACTACCTATTGGATCTGATGGGCATACAACTGTGTGTACAATCAGGTGTTTTAGACAGCATTTTAAACAGGTATTAGTTAGGGAATTTTTGCCATTTGTGCCACTTGTACATTGTTTACTTTTCTTAATAGCATAGAATTTTTTCAATAGAAAAAAGTTTTCCTTCAAACTTAGGTGTATTTGGATAATGTAGCAACATGCTTCCTGTTATTTGGGTCTTCTGGGGTGAAACCTTCAAGTAATCAAGAAGATTGTTTGTTTTTCTCCCTCTTCTGCAGCCATCATTACCACTTACCTCAGTTCTTACTTGGAATTTCCTTTTTGCATAGAAGGCAGATATTTTTTCATCCTTAAGACTTATTCGAAGGGTATTTACTGTTTGTTTTTTCTGTTATTTACTTCTGAAAATTCCTTGTTCTAGCCAAG